GCTGGGCAGAGTCCTACAGAGTGTCTGTGGTCCCAGGACAGGATCGGTGTCTGTCTGGTTATGGGTAGCTGGTGGCATTCATCAACTGACATTATCTTCCTAGGTCTAACTCTAGAGAAATCTACACAGTGCCCACTCCATAGTTCCTAATAGCAGGCACATTTCGGTATAAGTTTCATCTCCCCCATATTGTTAACTCCTCACTGTAGGTCTTTGTGTTTAGGGTCAAGTGCTAGTCGTGCTAGTAGGACACACCGGCCTGAGTTAGTACGATGTTCACAGATATATCCACTCAGTGAATGAATTCCAGAGAAATACCTTAACTAATGTCAGATCTCAATCTTTTCTACATTTTTCCTTTTCCAAATCCATTTTAATGGCAGCATCCCTGTTCTCTCTCATCAATCTTAGGTCTTTAGGATGAAGTAAGAGGAAAGCATTCTTCCTATCAAGACTGCTAATTCTTCACATTTCGTATTTCTTCCCCTGTAGATTAATCCTCCGAGAGCTGATTCTTTGTAGCAAGGGATACCTGTCTTTCTGCCCTTCCCTTAAACCGACTTCATCACACCAAGGGCCAGAAGCTGTTAGCTGGATTTCATTTATATACTTAATTAACCAGCTTCTCTGCAGGGTAGAACTCCACTTATGTTTTTAGTCTTTTACTTCTCAGGAGCAGTGACTGAATAAGAGAGTAGTTAAAGGATACAGAAGTTTTTTTATGGAGTCAGCCAATTATATATCCAGAGATTTGAATGATTTCTTAGTGACTGTATCCTCAGGTTTTATCGGATGATCATGAAAATGGCGAGCTTTTATTTGGGGCTTACTATCATGCCTGTCAACTAGCCACCGAGGTGATTTCACATGCGTGACCATGTGCTTGCACTCCCATGTAGCAGCTCCATGAGGAAAGCTGATCATTGCTATTTGATAGGCGATAACATTGAGCCTGAAGAGGATGCATGTTTGCCTGATGTCTCACCCAGAGGCCTGTGGTCACATCCTTCTCTTGGGTTTCATGTTCACACTGGTCTCAGCCACTTTCAAGACGCTCAGTACGCTGTGGCTGATTGAAAAAACAGTCCTGCAGAACCATTTGTGATTCATTCCCCTATCAGTGCAGGTGTTGAGTATGCACCCTCCCATATAGGTTTGTTGCTGTGCTTTTGTGTATGTATACTACTTTACTATTACGTTAGGTACAGGACAAAACATTCACAGAACTAGAAATGTTGACGGGATTAGCTAACATGATAGAAACTATATTTGATTTTTTTTAAATGAATAGCACAAAAGAACATTTTCAGCAAAACTTTCTTTTCCCATGTGTTTTAGAGAGAGCTGGGTGTTTAAATATGCTCCATTATTTTTTTTAAAATCGTGGTTTGTTCTTGTGTAATCTAGTAATTTGAAAATCTTGTTTTAAATTCATATCATTTTGATGCTGTGAACATATATAAGGAGAAGCCTCACTAAAGTGAATGTGGGATACGAGAAGGGAGGCTGGTGGGTGAAGGTGTCCCACTCAATGTCAATCACAGAAAGAATGATCAATTACAGTTTGAACAGAAGAATCCTCAACAAGAAACACTCACCAATTACAGGCCCCAATAGGGAAAGATGTACTCTGCATCTTCTATTAGAAACCTACCTCCCCTGCAACTCAGCCAGTGAGAAACCATCATCATTCTGGACTCTTGCGTTTCTCCAGTCGACTTTTGTTCAAAACAACCCCTCCAACTTCCTCCTTCTTCTCCATAAAATAATGTCCCTCTCTTTGGTTTGTTGGACTTGCCTGTGGTTTTGCCGTAGCTCGCTTCTCCTGGATTGTGATTCTCTGCTATTCCCGAGTCAGTCCATTTTTGCTGGTAGAATGACTGTCAGTTTTATTTTTAAGGTTAACAGTTAAAAGTTAACTTTTAATTACCATATCCAGACAGAATTTTGTTATTGGCTATGTTTTTATCATAAGCATTCTTTCCTGCCATCCACCAGTGAGGTAAAGGTTTTTAATTGAAATTTAGCTAATAGATGTAATCCATGATATTAATCAGTGGTTGTTGCAAACTAATTGAGTGTTTTGGCGTCTTCATCCTTTCAACTAATGTATTCAACCTTCGTGGAAACTGATTATGTAGAAAACTAGTACTGGTTGAAACTGTTTTTAAGTGCAAAGAAGGTATTAACATGAGATATATGGATCTTTAGTTTTCTTGTCTGGCTTTTGGTCAGCTCTGGTATCAGAGAAATACTTGGTCTCATGAAATGAGTTGGAACACATTCCCTCCTATTTTCTGAAAAGTTTGCTCAGAATTGGTGTTGTTTCTTTCTCAAGTGTTTGTTAAGTTCACCAGTGAGGCCATCCAATCCTAGATATGAGAAGGTTTTTTTTTTAACTACAAATTACTTACAAGGTATAGGGCTGTTGAGGTTATTACTGTCTTCTTGAGTGAGCTTTGTATCTTTTAAAGAGTCTGTCCATTTTATCTAAGCTGTTAAATGTATTGGCATAAAGCTGCTCATAATCATATTTTTTAATCCTTTTAATGAATTTAAGGATCTGTAGAGATGTCCTCTGATTATTAGCACTGTTAAATTTGGATCTTCCTTTTTTTCTTGATCAGTTTGGCTAACAGTCTGCCAGTCGAACTTTTCAAAGGATCAGCTTTTCGTTTAATTGATTTTCTGTATTCTCTTTTATGCTATTTCATTGATTTCCTCTTTATTTTTTTCTTCCCTTCTATTTGCTTTAACTTGATTTTGCTCTTTTCGCTCACTTTCTTAGGGTGAAAGCTTAAATCATTGGTCTACTTCTAGTTTTTAATGGGACAACTTAGATTACCAGTTTTAGACCACCTTCTGTAATATAAGCATTTAGTGCCATCAGTTTTCCTCTAAACAATGTTTCAGCCACATCCCACTAATTTTGATATGTTAGCTTTTTGTTCTCTACAAAAGATTATCTAATTTCCCTTTGTGACTTCATCTTTGACTCATGTCTTACATAGGAATGTGTTGTTTAATGTCCAAATATTTTTTCCCACATACCTTTCAGTTATTGATAACTATTTTAATTCTTTTATCATCAGGGAACATATTTTGAATGATTTCAATTATTATAAAATGTTTTAGAATTTTTTATAGCTCACGGACTCATGTTCTATCTTACTGAATGTTCCAGATGCACTTGAAAATAATTTGTATTCTGCTATTTTGGGTGAAGTGTTATATAAGCGTCAATTCAGTTAAGTTGCTTGATAGTGTGTTTGAAGTCTGCTGTATTCTACTTTCTGTCTACTTGTTCCATCTAACCTCAGTGTGTTTCTCTATTCAGTTCTATTAGTTTTTGCTTTATGTATTTTGAAGCTCTGTTATAAGATGCATACACATTTAAAATTGTCTTGTTGATCAATTGACCTACTTGTCATTATGAAATGTACCTAGTTATCTCTGAGACTTGTCATTCCTTGTTTTAAAGCACACTTTTCTGCTATTAATATAGCTAACCCTACTTTTGATTAGTAGCTACAAAATATATGGTTTTCAACCCATTTATTTTTAACCTGCCTGAATATTATATTTAAAGTAAGTTTTCTGAAGATAGTATTTAATTGGATATCAATTTTGTTTTTGTTCTATTTTTTCCATTCTGATGGTAGTTTCTAACGTGGGCATATTTATAATGTTTATAAAGCTTCTAGAAGGTCATGATATGCTAATTCCTTCATCTCAGCCATGTCTCTGTTCATTTCTGTTGATTGCTGTTTTCTCCTGGACATGCGTTGTATTTGTCTGCTTATGTGTAGGCGTGGTAACTCTTGATTAGATGTCAGACACTGTGAATTTCACATCCAGCAGAGTGCTAGATTTTGCTTTTTTTTTTTTTAAAGTTTTAACATTGTCCTGGCACAGAGTTAAGATCCTTTGAATCTTCCTTTGAACATCTCAGGACTATTTCTCTTAAAGGTCAAACACTCATAGTATTTGTTGTCTTCATGAACAGCTTTAGCTGTTTGAGAAAAATGAGTGTGTAAGTCTTTTCTGTAGCAATTAAGAAAGTAGGGACATCGCCTAATGCAGTTACTAAAACAGTAATGATTATATGATTATTTAAAATATTGCTTTAGATAATTAGTGTTATATGTGGATTTAGACGTTACTGTCATAGTCGGCAAAGGTTTCCAGGTGGAAAGTACTGTTGTATTCCACACGTTTCTGATAACCAGCCCTCTCTCCAGTGGCTCTATGAATAATGGTATTCGCCTCCATGTTCCCTGTACTTAACCCTTAACAGTTACTGAGAGTGTGGGAGGTGTTCCTTCCATGTGATGTGTTACTGCTGTAGCTCAGCCGCATTCAGCAAGGTCTGTTTCATCCTCTGTTCCCTTACCAGGTAGCGTTACAGCTCTCCTTCAGCTCTGGCCTTTGTCCTCAGCTTCTGATAGAAGCCCTTTCAGGATTTCCTCTCCCTGGCAGTGACGAATGACTGAATTGCTTTCGGTAGCATGGCGAGTTTTCTCAGAAAACACCAACAGCATAATCTTTTTTTTTTAAAGATTTTAGGGGCGCCTGGGTGGCTGGGATCGAGCCCCGCATCGGGCTCCCTGCTCGGCGGGAGGCCTGCTTCTCCCTCTCCCACTCCCACTGCTTGTATTCCTTCTCTCGCTGTTTCTCTCTGTCAAATAAATAAATAAAATCTTAAAAAAAAAAAAAAAAGAGGACCGGCAAACAAAGCAATGTTTCTTTCCAGTAAAACTGCCTTCTGTTACTTTGGGAAATGCTATAGGGAAGCCCTGAATTGCTTTTTGAGTTTTGGTTTGAGTAGGTGTGTTTCAGAGCCCCTAGCCCTCCCGTTCGGGTCATGTGTGTCAGATCGGATCGTTCCTGAGAATAGGTGGCAGAGAGTCAAGGTCCCACAGCTAGCATGGCATCCCCAGGAGGCCTTGTGGCCCTCTACCTCTTCCACCTCCCTGAAGGCTTTCCCTTCTCTTCCCTAGGCGTGGAGAAACTCATCCACCACCTGCGAAAGCATGGTATGCCCTTGGCCGTTGCCACCAGCTCTGGCCGTGCATCGTTTGAGATGAAGACCAGCAGTCACAAGGAGTTCTTCAGCTTGTTTGACCACATCGTTTTGGGAGATGACCCCGAAGTGAAGAACGGAAAACCAGATCCCGACATATTTCTAGCCTGTGCGAAGAGATTTTCTCCTCCTCCTCCCATGGAGAAGGTAAGACCAGCAGCGAGGAGAAGTGGCGGCACAAATTCCACCAGTGCCCCCGTCCTACAGAAAAACAGAACCCCCCTCCCGCAAATGCTTGTTGAGGGATATCTTGTTATTGCAAGGTTTTTGCTCATAGTGACCTTTGGTTTTATCATGAAGTTTCCAGGTTTCTGTTTTTCTGCAGGATGGGGGCACTGGTGGAATTTGTGCTCCAGTGCCCTCTCCAGCCTGTGTACAATACTTCATCATGCAGGGCGCACAGGGACATGGGGCAAAGGGTGCCAGTGACCTGGAAGTATGTTTAGAGCCAGTGGATAGTGTTTGTTCAGCTTTGCTTCGGATTCTCCTCCCTGCACCATTACTGTTGGGATGGATTGCTTAGCCTCCACTGCGTGCTTATGCAGATTCCAGAGCAAGAGGGAGACGGCCTTGAGAGGGGGCGGGCTGAGGTCTGACTGTGTGCCTTGCAGATTCCAGAACACCAGGGAGACGGTCTTGAGAGGGGGCGGGCTGAGGTCAGACTGTGTGCCCTGCAGATTCCAGAACACCAGGGAGACGGTCTTGAGAGGGGGCAGGCTGAGGTCTGTGTGCCCTGCAGATTCCAGAACACCAGGGAGATGGTCTTGAGAGGGGACGGGCTGAGGTCTGACTGTGTGCCCTGCAGATTCTAGAACATCAGGGAGACAGTCTTGAGAGGGGACGGGCTGAGGTCTGACCGTGTGTCCTGCAGATTCCAGAACACCAGGGAGACGGTCTTGAGAGGGGACGGGCTGAGGTCTGACTGTGTGCCCTGCAGATTCCAGAACACCAGGGAGATGGTCTTGAGAAGGGGCGGGCTGAGGTCTGACTGTGTGCCCTGCAGATTCCAGAACACCAGGGAGATGGTCTTGAGAAGGGGCGGGCTGAGGTCTGACCGTGTGCCCTGCAGATTCCAGAACACCAGGGAGACGGTCTTGAGAAGGGGCGGGCTGAGGTCTGACTGTGTGCCCTGCAGATTCCAGAACACCAGGGAGACGGTCTTGAGAGGGGACGGGCTGAGGTCTGACTGTGTGCCCTGCAGATTCCAGAACACCAGGGAGATGGTCTTGAGAAGGGGCGGGCTGAGGTCTGACTGTGTGCCCTGCAGATTCTAGAACATCAGGGAGACGGTCTTGAGAGGGGACGGGCTGAGGTCTGACTGTGTGCCCTGCAGATTCCAGAACACCAGGGAGACGGTCTTGAGAGGGGACGGGCTGAGGTCTGACTGTGTGCCCTGCAGATTCCAGAACACCAGGGAGATGGTCTTGAGAAGGGGCGGGCTGAGGTCTGACTGTGTGCCCTGCAGATTCCAGAACACCAGGGAGATGGTCTTGAGAAGGGGCGGGCTGAGGTCTGACCGTGTGCCCTGCAGATTCCAGAACACCAGGGAGATGGTCTTGAGAAGGGGCGGGCTGAGGTCTGACTGTGTGTCCTGCAGATTCCAGAACACCAGGGAGACGGTCTTGAGAGGGGACGGGCTGAGGTCTGACTGTGTGCCCTGCAGATTCCAGAACACCAGGGAGATGGTCTTGAGAAGGGGCGGGCTGAGGTCTGACTGTGTGCCCTGCAGATTCTAGAACATCAGGGAGACAGTCTTGAGAGGGGACGGGCTGAGGTCTGACCGTGTGCCCTGCAGATTCCAGAACACCAGAGAGACAGTCTTGAGAGGGGGCGGGCTGAGGGTCTGAATGTGTGCCCTGCAGATTCTAGAAGGACATGGGGACTGAGTCGAGAGGATGGTTTCTGTTGGTGCCATTTGTGTGCTGGCGGCAGGGAGGGCATTCATCAGGGTGACAGTGGGTTCCTGTGTTCTTGTAGGTTCCTGTTTTTCGGGACTTGGGGTTAGAATTAGCTCAGGGAAGAACATTTCGTGACAGTTCTTTTCTAGCTCTCTCCTCCCCTCACCCACAGAGAGTCAGAGATGCGACGCTGCCCTTTTCTGACACAAATCACAAGCACAGTTCAGATCACAAGATTTACTCAAAAACCTGCTTCCAAATGAAGCTGAGGGGCTGGGGCATGTGTCATCGATCTGTTATTGTGTTTGTTGTATTTTGTTTTGTTTGGCTCGGGGTCCAGCGAGGAGCACCTGACTCACACGTGTTTACTGCCTTCGCAGGGTCAGGTCAGTAAGCTGGACCCCGAAGCATTTTATGTGTGTTTTCTGATTCATTACGAAGGCTACAACTCAGGAGCAGCTCGGTGGAAGGGATGCTTAGGGCAAGGCATGGGTGGCTGGGGGCGTGGAGCTCCCGTGCCCTCCCGGTGCCCCTGTCCCAGCTCCTCAATGTGTCCCTCAACCCAGAAGCCCTGAGAACCTCATGGTTGAGGGGTCTGACTGGAGGTTTCATTACGTAGGCTTTATTCATTAAATCATTGCCCAATGGTGATTAAGTCACTGCATCTGGAGATCGGGGTTAGGGCTGGAAGTGCCATCCCTCTAAGTGTGCCTTGGTCTTTCTGGAACCCATCCCAAAGCTATGTAAGCAATCACAGATAGTCACTTGATTAGCAGAAACTCACGAACGGGGCTCATCACGAATAACAAAAGATAGCTCCAAGATTGTTCAAGAAATTCCAAGGGTTTTAGGACTTTTATGCCAGGAGCCAGTGACCGAGATCAAACATATGTTTTTTAATAACATTGCCGCCCTAAGGGATCGTTCAGCGATAGTAGTATCATTGATGGTGTGTCGATACACCTTGGGCTGGTTCAGATCTCATCACCGAATCCAACTCGACGGCAGTTGTACGATGAGGGACGAGCCCACGGTCGCCGGGCCCCTGAGCCATGGAGTGAAAGAGGAGCCCCTTTCCAGGGCTGCCAGCCCAGATCCGGGGTGCAGCGTGTGTCTGCTTCATGTATCGGGACATCGATATGCCTGCGTGCTTGGCATCCTCCTACAGATTCCATGGGCGTGTCTTCTTTTTCTAAGAACCTCACTTCCCAAAGTGTTCTGTACCTTCAGATGATGAAGTGCTCCTGCTAGGAAAGCCATTTTCCTTGTTGGGTGCACGTTGCTGTTGATTGACAAGTGACGTGAAGCTGCCACACTGGACACACTGGTTCCCAGAGCCGTTCAGAGTCTGCAGGCATCTACTTACAGTAGGATCTGAAGGAGCTGATAAAGATTACCTAGGATATTGGCCCGCACATGAGCTGCTTGTATGGTGGAGGCCGTTAAAGGGAAAACATACTACGTCTCTTCCCATGATAGCTGTTCTTCCTTGGAAAGGTGCCGTATCAATGGAAACGTGGCAGGAGACATTAAATAATCCTGAAGCCATTGTATTTTGCTCAGTGGTTGTGAGGGACAAACAAACGTGTTTTAAAGCATGTGGGGAAATAGAGTTTATAGGGAAAGCACACGCTCGCCCTCATACTCGCTTTGCATGAAGCCATTTGCAATGACACCGTGGAAAGCGAAGACACAGCTGCAGAGTGAACACGGAGCTCCAGAGCTCCCATATTGTCTGCATATCCCCATGTTCTTCTCACTGACAATGTTTGTTTTAAACTTGTCAAAGAAAAATGAGCAACTGCATATCTTAACAGTAATTTAGCTCATAAAGTGTTCTACACATTACCCTTGTTCCTAATCCATGTTTATTTATGCATGCATTTGTCTTGTAGAAATGAAACCTTTCTTGTCATATTTCTTAGGCAAATATAGTCAGGGCTTTTGGGGTTTCTCGTCGGGTGATCTGCATGTGGTAACACTAAAGGAAGATTTGAACAGGCTCCTTGTTGTGGACACACCCTTAATTTTGTGCTTGGATTCTTTTTTCTACCTCATACATGAAGCACTTGCAAAGAGGGTTGTTGGAATAGGAGAAGGTTCTTCGAACATGTCCCGCTGCTTTCTCTTTGATCCAGCGCCGGCCGTAAGAGGAGCGTGCCTGCCAAGTTCAAGGGCATTTCCTATGATTATTAAGTCACTGGAGAGATTCACAGTTACCGGCGGGAATTTATTATGCTGTGGGTGTCATCCAATTAATTACGTACAGTAGTAGTAATAGAGAGGAGGACAAAACAAGCGGTATCAAAGGAAGAAATTATGTTAAAGTGTTAGTTACCATTTTTCCAGGAGAAGATGCCTAAGAGAGCTCGCATGAAACACGTTCTCACTGAAACGATTACTTCTAAGCTGTGCATGTGTCATTCTTTGGTGCTAAAAATAAGCAAAAATGGTGCCATCTCCAACAAGTCCCCTCCACCCATCGTCAGCACTCAAGAGCACTCACTGAGTGCCTGCAGTGTGTCCAGGAGGCATGCGACATGCGTGAGCCGCGCCCCGGCGGTCCGAGAGCACGTACCTTCTGCAGCCTTACAGGCGTGAGCGGCCGGGCCCCACGCCACCAGGCGGGTTGAGGGACAAGCTGGGAGTCACCCCCAGGTCCTTGGGGTGTGTGAGTTCTCCCTTAACTGCTCTGGTGCAAAGTAAAAAGGATGATGACGTCATGGACACGGGACATGGGTTGACTTTCATTACAAGTCAATCCTGAAGTCCGTTCCAAGAAGCATGGTCGTTACTACTGGGCTATTTTAGCTTCCTTGTTAAGAACTGAGTTTCAAGGTTTTTTGTTTATTCCTCTTTTGTTTTGTTTTTAAGAAAGTTCTGCAATTTCGCCTTTATACACCTAAAGAGTAAAAAAAAAAAAAAAAAAGAATGATAAAGGCATTATAGTTGGTGAATTCTAATTGTATAACGTCTTCCTGGTAAAACTAAGACCATTCTCTCAATTACAGAAGGAATCACCCGAGTTGACTTTTCAATGTGGGAAAAGGGCAGTTAATATATTTTACCTGACCTCTTGCCAAAGAGACATGTTAATTTAAGAACCACTTTCAGTACCTCTTTTTACCGTACGCTGTCTCTGTCCCCAAAATCTGTGGACAGGCGTGGGCTGTCAACGTGCTCCTGCCATTTTTGGCTCTCTGGGAAGAATTTCTTTACCTCCCAGAATAATGGGAAGCAAGCACATGC